AGATTTGATGTCCAATCGACGTGGCGCAAGCTATATGCGATGCAGGCTGCGTGGTGCAAGATACGTGGTGCAATACATGTGATGTGAGCTACGTGATGTAAGCTATGTGGTGCAACCTATGTGGTGAAACTGGTTTTTACTCATGTTTTAACACGTCCCATGCTCTTGCAGACATTCCACCCCCCCACCCGCAACTCGGTTTGCAAAACCCCTTAAGACCGTGACGGTAGGTACCAAATGGCACTTGGCAACGACACCGACGCCGACGACGACAGCGCCGTCGACGACGACGACGACGCCGACGACGTCTCCGACGACTTCGACGACGACAACAACGACGACGACGACAACGACGACGACGCCGACGCTGACGACGACGACGATGACAACGCAGACGACGACGACGATGCCGCCGACCACGACGACGACGACGACGGCGACGACGAAGACGACGACGACGACGACGTCGCCAACGAAGACGACGACGACGAGGGAGGAGGGAGGACGACGACGGCGACGACGACAACGACGAGGGAGGAGGGAAGACGACGACGACGACGACGACGGCGACGAAATAGGAGGGACAACGACGAAACGCCGACGACGACGACGAGGGAGGACGGACGACCACGGCGACAACGACGACGGAAACGACGACGACGACGAGGAAAGACAGAGGACGACGACGGCGACGACGACGACGACGAGGGAGGAGGGATGACGGCGACGACGACGACGCAAAAGCGCGGGCGCACGCTTTTGTTGAAAATCCGTGTTGCGAAACCTTGTGTTTTGTATGTTTTTTGGACACACGAATTTGAACTCCTTCCGAAACCGAACGCTTTTGAAGGATTTCAGAATGCGCGCGCGACGACGCGCGCGTCTGCACTTCGTCCCGTTTTTTTGCAGAGGATTCTCGCGACGGCACGCGCGCAAGGGCGTTCGAAAGATTTGAGAGAGCGTGATCCACCGCCGCTTTACTATGGAAAATTGCCAACCTTTTCCTCCGGAGCCCGGGGGTCGGCCCCCCCCCCTCCGAAAATCTCCCCCCCTGCGGAAACCCTCCCGCCCCCCCTTCCCCCGGCAAAACCCCCCCCTCCCGTAACCCCCCCCTCCCCCTCGAAAGCCGGGGGGGGTCACTACCGGTTCGAACCCCCCCACCCCCCTCCGGATCCGGAAAACCGGGGGGGGTCACTACCGGTTCGAACCCCCCCACCCCCCTCGAAAACCGGAGGGGGATCACTACCGGTTCGAACCCCTCCCTACCCCCCCACTCACCGCCAGCAAACGACTCCCGGTCCCTACCACCGTCCGCATCACATCCTCCACTGTTGTTCCCAGCACCACTGTCCTCACCACCACTGTCCCCACTGTGTCCCCACCAGTGCCCCCACCACTGTCGCACTGTCCCCACTGTTCCCACCACTGTTCCCACCACGGTTCCACTCTCCCCACTGTCTCCACGGACCCAACCACTGCCCGACTATCCCCACTGTCCCCACTGTCCCACTGACTCCTCCGCTGTCCCACTGAGCTGTCCCACTGTTCCCACCACTGTCCCCACTTTCCCCACCACTGTCCCCACTGTACCTCTGTCCCATTGTCCCACCGCCGTCCTCGCCACCGCCTTCACCACTGTCCCCACCACCATTGTACCCTCCACTGTCCCACTGTTTCCACCCCATTCCCACTGTGCCCACACCGCTGTCCCCACCACCACCGTCCCCACCACTGTCCACTGTCCCCCCTGTTCCCACCATTGTCCCCACCTACCGGCCCTCTACTGTCCCACTGTCCCACTGTCCCCACCACTGTCCCGCTGTCCCCTCACCACTGTCCCACCAACACCGTCCCCACCTCTGTCCGCACCCCCACTCGGTTTTCGAGTGGGGGGGGGGGGGATGACCCCCCCCCTTTTCATGATGAGCTGGGGGGGGGGGAGGGGTTCGAACCGGTAGTGACCCCCCCCGGTTTTCCGGAGGGGGGGGGGGGGAGGGGTCGAAACCGGTAGTGACCGTGATCCCCCCCCGGTTGTCGACCAGCAGCGGTAGAACACGCTCTTTCAAAGATTTCGACGGCGCGCGCGGAAGCCGTTTTGGTAGCATGGTATGTGGAAAATCTTGAAAAGTCTATGGTTTTCTTAAGATTTCGGCAGAGCTCGCGCGGCGTAAGCTCTTTTAGAACATCAGTGTTGCGAAACAATGTGTTTGTACAGTTTTTTTTGGAAACTCGATTTTGAAAGCCTTCCGAAACCGCAGGTTTTTGAAGGATGTGGGCATGCGCGCGCGACGACGCGCGCTGTGTGCACTTGGCACGTTTTTGAAGGGATTATTGAAAACTTGTTTTTGTTATGAGAATGCGCACATAGTATTTTGATACACTAAAAAATTTTTTATAAAAAATAAATATATATATTATAAAAAAAAAAAATTTTTAAAAAATCAAAATAATGGGAAAAATTAAAAATAAAAATTTCTAAAAAAAAATAAAAAAAAAATTTTTAAAAAAAAAAATTAACTAAAAAATAAAAAAAAATTTTATAAATAAAAATTAAAAAAGAAAAAATAAAAAAAATAAAAATAAAAAAAAGAAAAAAATCAAAATAACAAAAATTAAAAAATAAAAAAGCGCACATAGTATTTTGTGCATGATGAAGGCGGGGGGAGTGATACCGGCCTGGGTGGTATAGTACGAACTCATCTTTAGAATGGACGAGCGTGCAGAATACATATGAAAGCACAATACCCGAGGGGGTACCGTTAACTCCGTGGGGGGGGGGGGGGTAGAGTCTATTCTTCTTCTAGACAGGAGAATTGAGGTACTCGTCTGTGTTGTTCCATTCATGTGGTGTGAACCACGTGTTGTAAGCTATGTGGCGCAACCAATGTGGTAAGAACCCAAGCGCGCATCTATTTTGTGCAGCCAATGTGGTTTGACCTGCATAATGTAAGCTATGTGGTGCAACATATGTGCTAGACGCTATAAGTACTCGCCTACGTGGTGCAATCTATGTGGTGTAAGCTATGTGGTGTGAGCTAAATGATGTAAAGTATGTGGTGAAACCTATGCGGTAGGAGCCAAACGACGAATCGACGTGGTGCAATATATGTGGTGTTAGCTACATGTTGCAATCTATGTGGTACGTAATTCAATATAAGCGGCGCAATCTACGTGGTACGCTCTATGCGATGCAATCTACGCGGTGCAAGGTATGCGGTGCAATCAATCACTTGCTCAACTTGGAGCTGTCCTCTCCACTGCTCGTGAAAACATCCCGCCCTCCCACCCGCAACTTGGTCGCAATACCTCTTAAGACCGTGACGGTGGGTACCGAATGGCACTTGGCAACGACACCGACGCCGACGACGACAGCGACAACGACGACGACGACGCCGCCGACAACGACTACGACGACACCGACGACGTCTCCGACGACTTCGACGACGATGACAACGACGACGACGACAACGACGACGACGACGGCGACGACGCCGACGCTGACGACGACGACGACGACGATGACAACGCCGACGACGGCGGCGACGCCGCCGACGACGTCGACGCCGACAACGAAGACGACGACGACGACGGCGACGACGAAGACGACGACGACGACGATGTCGCCAACAAAGACGACGACGACGACGAGGGAGGAGGGAGGACGACGACGGCGACGTCGACAACGACGAGGGAAAAGGGAAGACGACGACGACGACGACGACGACGACGACGGCGACGAAATAGGAGGGACAACGACGAAACGCCGACGAAGACGACGAGGGAGGAAGGACGATTATGGTGACATCGACGACGAAAACGACGACGACGCCAAGACGACGACGACGACGGGGGAAGACAGAGGACGACGACGGCGACGACGACGACGACGACGACGACGAGGGAGGAAGGAGGACGGCGACGACGACGACGACGACGACGACGCAAGAGCGCGCGCGCACGCTTTTGTTGAACATCCGTGCTGCGAAACATTGTGCTTTTGTATGTCTTTTGGACACACGGTTTTGAAATCCTTCTGAAACCGCAGGTTTTTGAAGGATTTCGGCATGCGCCCGCGACGACGCGCGCGTCTGCACTTCGTTCCTGTTTTTGCAGAGTATTCTCGCGACGGCACGCGCGCAAGGGCGTTCGAAAATTTTCGACATGCCCGCGCGCGAAGCCCGTTTGGTAGCATTTGTTTTGAAAGTCTTGAAAAACCTATGGTTTTCTGAAGACTTCGCAAGAGCGCGCGCGTAAGATGTTTCAGAAAAACCGTGTTGCGACACCCTCTGTTTTTGTATGCTTTTTGGAAACTCGATTTTGAAATACTTCCGAAACCGAAGGTTCTTGAAGGATTTCGGCATGCGCGCGCGACGACGCACGCGTGTGCATGTTTGAAAACTTATGGTTTTTTTATCATCGAGAGTGTGCGCATAATATTTTTGCAGAGGATGGCGGGGTGGAGTGATACCGGTTTGGCTGGGATAACATGAATTCATATTTCGGATGGACGAGTGTGTAGACTAATTATGAAATCGCAATACCCCTGAGGGGATCGTTAACTCCGGGGGGGGGGTAGAATCCCGAGCAGTACTTCCTCGACCCGCGCACAAATCCTTGACAGCTGTCGCTCGCGCGCACGAGCGCCGGTGCGCAAGGGCGCTGCTATCTGGGCTTGGGACTACACAAGTGCGGCATGATAATGCCTCGGCACGCCTCTCCCCTCCAGGCTCCTCAGGCTAACTCAGCCGCGGCCAACATCAAGCATAACATCTGCTCTGCATACGGGTCCGTTCCTCCTCCTCTACCTCCTCCTCCTCCTCCTCGTCCTCCTCCTCCTCGTCCTCCGCCCCCTCCTTCCCCTCCTCCTCCTCCTCCTCCTTTTCCGCCTCCTCCTCCTCCTCATCCTCCTCCTCTTCCTCCTCCTCCTCCTCCTCCTCCTCCTCCTCCTCATCCTCCTCCTCTGCCGCCCCCATCCCTGGCGGGGCCCGTGGTCCGAGGGCCTCCAGCGCATCTGCACCAACGGAGGCTTGGGCTGGGCATGGGACGCGTCGGGTTGCGCAGCTCCAGCGAGGTACGCGTTGTCCGCGTCGGTCCTCATCTCCCCGAGCGGTAGCAGGAGGATGCGCCTCCTCCTCCTCCTCGTTTTTCTCATAGTTTTTCTCCTCCTTTTGCTCCTCCTCCTCCTCCTCGCTCCTCCTCCTCCTCCTCCTCCTCCTCGCTCGTCCTCCTCCTCCTCCTCCTCCTCCTCCTCCTCCTCCCCCTCCTCCTCCCCCTCGTCTGCATTCGTTTCCTTATGACTAACTCCTCCCTGTCGCGCCCCGAGGCCAGGTCGGAAAGGGCTGGCTGGGCGCTCCGCCTGTTAGTTCTTTACCACTCATGAGCCTGAAGCTGAGAAGCCGAAAACACGCTCACAGATGGAGGGCGGGTGGTTTTTAACATGTGGCTCCTGCCATGGCGCCGCGCGCATTCGTCTCACATCTACAATCTGTTCGCATGTTGAGGGCGGTTCGTTCTCAAACTGTGGCTCTCTCCTTCGCGCCGCGCACATTCACCTGAAACATGTGCAAGGGCTTCACGGATGGAGGGCGGTTCCTTTTCACAATGTGGCTCTCGCCTGAGCGCCGCGCACCTTTCTTTCTGAACGTCTGTAAAAGGTTTCACGGGTGGAGTGCGGCTTAAGTGCCTTTGGATGAGCTCGTTCGCAAGTACAACGTGCAGCAGCAGCAGCAGTTCACCACGTTTTGTATAGATTGTCCTATTCCTGAATATCCAATCCTAAATGTTTTACGTATGTTCCTATTCCTATAGTTTGGGCCTCCCCTGGGGCACGGGTCCGTGTTTTTTTTCCACGCGTGTGCCTATAGATTGCCCTTCTCCTGCGTCTCCAATCCGCAATGTTTCATGTACGTCTGTTCCTATAGATTGGGAGGGCGCGCCGCTGGATAACCCCAGGGGGGGGGTGGGACCCACTCCCCCCTTTCCCCGATCCGTCGTCGGGGAACCACACATCCCCCTTTCCCGGTCCGTCGTCGGGGACCTGCCCCTCCCCCTTCTCCCGGTCCGTCGTCGGGGACCCCCCTCCCTTGGGGTCCGACCCCCCCCCCCCCTCGTGGGCCCGAGTTCTAACCCGCCACCCCCCCTTTCGCCACGCCGCCCCCTGACTGTAGAACCCGCCCCCCCTACCACCCCTAACACTAATCCTCACTCTAATCCCAAACCCCAAACCCAACCCCAAACCCTAGCCCCAAACAGTATTCGATACTCAATTCTCACTACCCACTACCCACTACTCACTACTTACTGCTTCCTGCGGACTACTCCCTACTCGCTAGTCTATACTCACTGCTCACTACCTCACAACGCACTACTCACTGCCCACTACCCACTACTCACTACTCACTACTCACTATCCACTACTCACTACTCCCTACTCCCTACTCGCTACTCATTAGTCATTACTCACTAATCCCTACTCGCTACTCACTACTCACTACTCAGTACTCACTCCTGACTAATCTCTACTCGCTACTCACTAAACAGTACTCACTAGTCACTACTCACTACTCGCTACTCCCTACTCGGTACTCGTTTCATAATACTCACTACTCACCACCCATTACTCACTACTCACTAACCACTATTTACTACTCACTGCTCCCTACTCCCGAGTCACTACACCCTACTCACTACTCACTACTCACTACACACTACTCATTACTCACGACTCACGACTCACGACTCCTTACTCACTACTCACCACTCACTACTCACTACTCGCTGCTCGCTACTCGCTACTCACTACTTAATATTCCCTACGTACCACCCACTACTCACTACTCACTAATCACTAATCACTAACCACTACTCCTCACTCACTAGTAACTAGTCGCTAGTCACTACTCACTACCCATTACTCACCATTCACCACTCACTACTCACTACCCATTAATCACTACCCACTACTCACTACCCACTACTCGCTACCGACTTCTCACATCTCGTTACACACTACTCACTACTCCCTACTCACTACTCACTACTAACTACTCATTACTCACTACTCGCTACTCGCTACTCGCTACTCCCTACTCGGTACTCAGTACTCTCTACTCACTACTGGATGCTCCCTACTCGCATCGGCGGAAATCGGCAGCCGAGTCGGGCAAAGTCGAATCGGCAGGAATCGGCAGGCTAATGTGCCTCCAATAAGAAATCGGAACCCAGATCGGAATCCCAGGTCGAATCGGGTCGGAATCGGGAGCCATCGAAGTCGAATCGAATCGAATCGAATCGGAGGAATCGAAGCGAGCCCTCCGCTGGCCGCCGTTTTCCCCTTAACTGAAGCACACCTTCGCACGGGAGACTGCTGGACGCCTCCCCGGGCGACGTGCGGGACCTCTCCGGCAGCCCAGCGGGGCACCCTCTGAAGCCTCTTGGGATCCTCGTGGGCTCACGTGGCCCGTCCCCGGGGCCCTCTGGAGCCGTCTCGGACCCTTCCGGAGCACTTTTCGAATCATGCTGTGCCGAAGACCAGAGGATACCAAAAGCGTTCAAACAAAAAGCATCGGGATGCTGATGGCTTTCCCCTTTTCGGGCTTCTCTTTGCGCCTCTTGCAGCTCTCGTGGAGCCTCTTGTGGCACTCTTGGGGCCCCTCCGGCCACGTTGGAAGCTCTCTTAGGTCTCTCGAGACGTCCTGAAGGCCTCTCGGCCCCATCTTGGGCCGGCTGGCCGCCTTTTTGGATACCTCTTGAGCCATCTCGGGAGCGCCCAAGGGGTCTCTGGAGGGCCTTCTGAGGCCCCAGAACTAACTCTCGCAGCTCCCTTTTACCTCTCCATATCCATCTTCGGTTTCGTCCGCCGTTTCTGCCACCTTTGGGTGCCCTTTGGGGCTGATTTCGGCCTCTTGAGGCCCAATTGAAGCCCTCTTGGAGCCCTCTTGGGCGTTCTTGACGTTTTGGAGGGCCTTCTGGGGCCTTCTTGGACCCCCCTCTTACCCTCTGGGGCCATTTCACACCAGTCCTCCCGCAACCTCCGTGTGTCCAAAACAGGTAGGGCCGCGGTGCCTGCCCCCCTCAGGGGCGTTCCACTGAGTAGTACTGAAGACGAATGAAGGCTATTTTCAAACAACTACTCCAGATGTCGTAATAAAAGGGAGGGGGTCTGGACCCTCCAAGACAAGCCATTTCAGACCCCCCCTCGTGGGAGAACCCTCCAAAACACCGTCCCCAGACCCCCCCAGGCCCTCCAAGATAGCCTGGAAGAGACCCCCCCCGAAATGAGACCCCCCTCCCTTTATTTCGAAATCTGGAGTAGTAATGAAGAAGACGAATGAAGGCTATTTTCAAACAGCTAACTAATCAGTACAGTGCTGCTTGGGCGTGGTGCCAGGAGTGCGCAGTGCGGAAGAGCAACCGCCTTGCTGGTCATAACATCGGCTCACTTCCCGCCGCATGCAGCATCTGGCGGGGTCTTGTCGGGCGTCAGCTCCTTCTTGACAGCGCGCACAAGGGGGTGGAGCGAGGGGGGCAGGCATCTAAGCAAGGCATCAGGAGCTTCTTGGAGGGGATCAAAGGAGAAGGCTCCTTGGAAGACAGGATGGCTTCCGAGGAGCCCCCTGCCCTCTCGGGAGAGGAGGAGGACGAGGAGGAGAAGGAGGAGGAGGAGGAGGAGGAGGAGGAGGAGGAGGAGGAGGAGGAGGAGGAGGAGGAGGAGAGGGGAGGAGGAGGAGGAGGAGGAGGAGGAGGAGGAGGAGACGAGGAGGAGGAGGAGGAGGAGGAGGAGGAGAGGAGGAGGCCGCCCCGCCCCTCGCCCCGCCCCCATTGCGCGCGCCGCCGGCCTGCACGGAGAAACCGCTCTTGGGGCTGTGCTTCAGCGGCGGCATCAGCCATGCCGACCCGTTGTTCTGGATCCCCATGAAGTCGTGCAGGAGGACGTCGATCTCCTCGATTTATTGGGGGGGAACCAAACCTACCTCGCTTTTGACCACCCTCGCTTCCAAGAGATACCAAGCGATGCCAAATTGCGGCCTGTACTGGTCAGGCCGCTTGACGAGGAGGCGCGTGGTATGGCTTGGTTTCGCCTGGAAGCGAAAGCGGGGTAGGTAATTCACGCATCGTACTCAAGGACCACATCCCAGAAATCACCTCGAGCACCTAGAAAAGTATCGAAACGGTGTCAGACGAGTATCGCCGCCCAGGGCCCGGCACGTGAAAACCTTGCAGTTTCGGTACTTTCCTGGGGCTCGAAATTCGTTCTGGTGGTCAAGGCTGAAGTAGGTTGGAATATCACAGTCCTCGATGCGCTTGCAGAGCTGGCGCGACTGGTGAATGAGGCTGCACACGTCGATGCTGCGGGCGCTTCCCTTGAGACGCAGGCACCCGGACAAGAACTGGTCCAGCTCGATTTCCCCATCACGGTTCTCGTCGAGAAGCACGAACAGCCGCTCCGCGTCGTCTACGTCCAGCCCGAGGGCCGTGAGGTAATACTGCACGCGCTCGTCGTTCACGAACCCGAGGATCTCCTCCCTGCTCACGGTCCCGGAGCCATCCACGTCCATCTCCATGAAGATGTTGCGCATCTCCGAGAGCCACTGCTCTTTGACCTAATCGGCCCCGGAAACGGCAGGGCCGTTTTTTCACCGTTTCCGAAAATTGCCCCGTGAAAATGGAAACGGCAAAAAAAGGCGACCCGAAACGGCAACAAAAACGGCTCCAGGATTGGAACCGGAGCGGGAACCCGTCAAAGAAGGGCGACGGAACCGGTAAAAAAAACGGCGTCGGAACCGGCAAGAAAACGGCAGAACGGAACCGGTAAACAAAAACGGCCCTGTCGTTTCCAGGGCCCACTAAGTTTATGTCGGGCGTGTCCCCCTACAGGGGGATTTTCGACGAAAAATCAAACATACCCCAAAAATGCCCCAAAAAAGTCAAACCCCCAAAATACCCCCCAGACTATTTTTGCGCTATTTTTGGGGTATTTTTTTTTGTTCGTCGAACATCCCCCTGTAGGGGGACAGGCCCGACTGAACACTAAGCCCTTGACCTCCATCTCCTTCTGCACCAGGAACTCCCGCTGCGTCCTCGCGGTCTCCACGGCGTTGTCCACGAAGACACCTCTCGGGGATGGCCAGACCACCCCCCTTTAGTAAAACGTGGTTCAGTGAAAACGACCTGAGGCCTGAACCTGGAGGGCGCAAGCCTGGAAAATAACGGCCACGGCGCCCTCTCGAGAACCAATTCACGAATCGACGTGTCACTGTTGGGGGTTCTGTCCACCCACATGCCACATGCCACTAGGAGGAGGAGGAGGAGGAGGAGGAGGAGGAGGAGGAGGAGGAGGAGAAAAAGGAGGAGGAGGAGGAGGAGGAGAAGGAGGAGGAGGAGAACTAATCGACGTGTCACTGTTGGGGATTCTGTCCAGCCCCGAACCTCTGGGGGGCCAGGGAAAAGGCGAGGGGCCTGACGCTGGAATGACGCGGTGGTCCTACACTGATGTCGGGCGTGTCCCCCTGCAGGGGGAGCTTCGCCGAAGAATAACGAATACCCCAAACATACGCCCAAAAAGGTAAAACACAAAAAACTAGAACTATCCCGGCAAAGCAACCTAACAGCGATGTGTAGGAGCATATCTGGAAGCATTCCCCTTAAGATTCACATGAGAATCCAGTTGTAGAATTCTGCTGTTCTCGCAGTCGCAGTCGCATTCGCGATGAAAGTCGCAGTGGCAACGGCAGTCGCAGTCACAGCCTCAGCCTCAGCCTGCCTCAGCCTCAGCCTCAGCCTGCCTCAGCCTCAGCCTGCCTCAGCCTCAGCCTCAGCCTGCTTCAGCCTCAGCCTCAGTCTGCCTTCAGCCTCGGCCTCAGCCTCAGCCTGCCTCAGCCTCAGCCTGCATCAGCCTCAGCCTCAGCCTCAGCCTGCCTCAGCATCAGCCTGCCTCAGCCTCAGCCTCAGCCTGCCTCAGCCTCAGCCTCAGCCTGCTTCAGCCTCAGCCTCAGTCTGCCTTCAGCCTCGGCCTCAGCCTCAGCCTGCCTCAGCCTCAGCCTGCATCCTCAGCCTCAGCCTCAGCCTGCCTCAGCTCAGCCTCAGCCTGCCTCAGCCTCAGCCTCAGCCTCAGCCTCAGCCTCAGCCTCAGCGCCTCAGCCTCAGCCTCAGCCTCTCAGCCTCAGCATCAGCCTCAGCCTCAGCCTCAGCCTCAGCCTCAGCCTCAGCCTGCCTCAGCCTCAGCCTCAGCCTGCCTCAGCCTCAGCTGCTCAGCCTCAGCCTCAGCCTGCTTCAGCCTCAGCCTCAGTCTGCCTTCAGCCTCGGCCTCAGCCTCAGCCTGCCTCAGCCTCAGCCTGCATCAGCCTCAGCCTCAGCCTCAGCCTGCCTCAGCCATCAGCCTGCCTCAGCCTGCCTCAGCCTGCCTCTGCCTCAGCCTCAGCCTGCTTCAGCCTCAGCCTCAGTCTGCCTTCAGCCTCGGCCTCAGCCTCAGCCTGCCTCAGCCTCAGCCTGCATCAGCCTCAGCCTCAGCCTCAGCCTGCCTCAGCTCAGCCTGCTTCAGCCTCAGCCTCAGCCTCAGCCTGCTTCAGCCTCAGCCTCAGTCTGCCTTCAGCCTCGGCCTCAGCCTCAGCCTGCCTCAGCCTCAGCCTGCCATCAGCCTCAGCCTCAGCCTGCCTCAGCCTCCCTCAGCATTCAAAATGTGGCCCGGGAATGGAATTCTGGGAACTCGAAGAACACGAAGTGGCCTGCAGTTGGCTCCGGGCATTCAAAATCATGCCCAGGAATGGAGTTCTGGGAACTCGAAGACCACGAAGTGGCCTACAGTTGGCTCCGGGCATTCAAAATGTGGTCCAGGAATGGAGTTCTGGAAACTCGAAGACCACGAAGTGGCCTATAGTTGGATCCAGGCATCCAAAATGTGGCCCGGGAATGGAGTTCTGGAAACTCGAAGACCACGAAGTGGCCTACAGTTGGTTCCGGGCATCCAAAATGTACGCCGGGAATGGAGTTCTGGGAACTCGAAGACCACGAAGTGGCCTACAGTTGGCTCCGGGCATCCAAAATGTACGCCGGGAATGGAATTCTAGCAGCGCCAAGAGCGACTTCGCGAGGATGTCACAAGCGATTTGGGCTTCGGCGGCAGCCGCCCCGGGTCCCGCCCGGACCCCCCTGTGGAGCCATCTGCTGCTCTCTTTTGACACCAGTAGAAACCTATCAGTTTTCGCTGTTAGGTAAAAATACTCCCCAGACTATGTTTGGATTATTTTCAACCTATTTTTGGGGGTATTTTCTTTTTCGTCGAAAATCCCCCTGTGGGGGGACAGGCCCGACTTAACCCTAGGCGGTGGCTCGCAGAGGCCGCCACCGCAGCATGGCGCATGGGAAAGAGGGCGTTTGCGCGCGACCTCGCGCGGACAGCGCGCGCGCCGGTGCCGGCGCGGTCGATGCCCTTTTCCCCAAGTCGATCACCAGTGATGATATTCATGACGGCGAGCATGGTGAAAGACAGATAGCCGACGAACCCGACTGCCAGGAAAGGGCCTGTCCAACCAGGGATCGCGCTCAGCGCGATGGGTATCGTGTACCAGCTGATGCCGTTGAGCATGCAGTGGAACAAGGTGAAGATCGTCGTCCAAAGGCTACCGAAATGCTCAGCGATCAAGACGGCGTTTGGACCGTTTCCCTGAAGCCTCGTGTACTCCGCGGTATAGTGTGTGAAGAAGATGGCGAAGACATAAATCACGATTCCCAGCATGATGAGAGCCCAGACCAACGACTTCACAGAGTCTATGATCATAAATGCCAATTGGCTGAGCTTGGTGAAGAAACGGAACACGCGCAGTACGCGAACAATTCTCAACATCTTGATTGTCTTGATGCCCATGCCGACGGAGGACGCATCTGAACCACTATCAGAGAACGACAGGATGTCAAAGAACGACATCGCAACCAGGAAAAAGTCGAACCAATTCCAATTCCTGTTCTCGGAATAGTAAAAGAAGAATCGCGGGCCATCGGCTAGTACGCGAACAACCAACTCGAGAAAGAAGAACACAGAGCAGAACAGCCCCATGACTTTCGACACTTCCGGTTCCGTCGTGTGGGTGGTCATCCACTGCACATCATGACCGATGACGCAGGAATTGCCAATGATCATGGCTGCGCAAAATATGTCAAAGAACCAGTGGTCAATGAAGCGTTGCAGAAAGGTGCGGCGGCTGGCGGCATTGGTACTCTTCTTGATCTTCTTCCGGCGTTCGTGGATATTGTTCTGGCACATCCTCCCAGCCGCAGGCGGCATCACTGCCACAGCTTGGGTCGAAATGCGGAGCTCCACCTTGGAGATCTGCTTCGGCTGGGAGGCCTCTGGAAGTGAGTGAACGCACCTCAGCATGGCGGCATCAACGTGCTTAGGGCTGCCGGACCTGCTGGTCCTGCTCATCTCGCCTGCTATCTCCTGCGTCAGGTCAGACACGGCAGCCCCGTCGGTCGTGGCGCCGTGAAATTCACCCCTCACGTTGCAGTCGGCCTGAACCCTGTTGAGGACCGACTCGTACTTCACGACCAGCTCCTGCAGACCCCTCACCTCGTCTGCCAGGTCCGCAACCTCCATGTCGTGGATGGCCGAGAGTGCCTCGAGCTTGTCGCGGAAGCCCGCCCTGCCCTGCGGGGCACCGTCCCGGCATTTCTATAGTCATACCACGGAAATGTTCGTAGAACCCAATGATGTTCGAAGATCAAAAACGATGTTCTTGGAACCGAATCCCGATGTGTTAAAACAAGACAGCCCCAGCCAGAAATGTTCCAAGAACATTTGGTGGGAACCACAAAAGGTTCTTGGAACATTGTTTGGTGGGGCTATAGGCGAGCCGGGACGCTTCGCCGCTGCTTGATCCTTGGCGGCCGTGGACAGCCTGGGCAGGCTGGCCCGGCCGCCG